TATCCTTCCGGAGCTCCTCCGTGAGACTCGAGACCGGTGAGTGGCGCAGGTGTCGCGCATTAGCAATTACTCCACCGGCCTCGCTCCGTTCCCACGGCTCTCGCCCCCGCCCCTCTCGTCACACACAGATAATGGCCGAAGCCATAACTGGCAGTACAGAGAGCATATTGTCCCATACGACCCGTACGATCAGCACTGGAGCTCCTCAGGGCTGCGTCCTCTCCCCACTGCTCTTCTCCCTGTACACCAACGAATGCACCTCTAAAGACCCCTCTTTCAAGCTCCTGAAGTTTGCAGACGAAACCACACTCATCGACCTCATTCAGGACGGTGACGAGTATGCTTACAGTCAGGAGGTTAAAGAGCTGACTGTCTGGTGCAGTCTCAACAACCTGGAGCTCAACACGCTCAAAACTGTGGAGATGACCGTGGACTTCAGGCGAAACCCCCCTGCACTCCCCCCACTCACCATCATGGACAGCACTGTGACTGCAGTGGAGTCATTCAGGTTCCTGGGCACCACAATCTCTCAGGACCTGAAGTGGGACACTCACATAGACTCCATTGTGAAAAAGGCCCAGCAGAGGTTGTACTTCCTTCGCCAGCTGAGGAAGTTCAACCTGTCACAGGAGCTGCTGAAACAGTTCTACTCCGCCATCATTGAATCTGTCCTCTGCACTTCTATAACTGTCTGGTTCAGCTCAGCTACCAAATCTGACCTCAGAAGACTACAGAGCGTAGTCCGGACTGCTGAGCGAATCATTGGTACAACCCTCCCTTCTCTCCAAGAACTGTACTCATCCAGAGTGAGCAAAAGGGCTGGCAAAATCACTCTGGACCCCTCACATCCAGCACACTCCCTCTTTGAACTGTTGCCATCCGGTCGACGCTACAGAGCACTGAGCACCAGAACGACCAGACACAGGAACAGTTTCTTCCCTCAGGCAATCCATCTCATGAACACTTGACAATAACTGTGGAACACACACTATTTATACACTCATACACTTATTTATCTAACACACATACTCAGACTACACCTCAAATTTGCACATAATATACAGTACCTGTACATACAAAACTGTCTATTGTAATATACCTGCACATACAACTGTCAATTTATATATTTTTATTCCTTATTTACTTGTTCTATTTTTTATTATCTGTGTTTTTTGTTCTGTCACTGTCATTCTGTTACACTGTGGAAGCTTCTGTCACGAAAACAAATTCCTCGTATGTGTAAACATACCTGGCAATAAAGCTCATTCCGATTCTGATTCTGATTCTATTTCCGAGACTGATGGCGCTGTGCCTGGGGAACTGGAGTGAGTAGCGGTCGGCAGGCTTGAGAGCGTTGAAACAGTGTCGCTTGAGAGCACAGAGTCAGCATGGCTCGGGAGCATAGAGTTTGCGGTGTAACCCGCAGCTCGTATAGACACCAGTGGTGGATCTTCCATGTTGGATGCCAGTCTCGAACGCCTTGGGACTGACTTTGTCCTACTAAGAGTGGTAGACATGACGGGACGAGACTCTGGAACGGCTGCCCTGACAGGACGAGGCTCTGGAACAGCGGCCATGATGGAACGAGACTCTGGAACAGCTGCCCTGACGTGAACAGGCTCTGGCTTGGCAGGCTTGACGTGAGTAGGCTCTGACTTGGCAGGTTTGACGTGAGCAGGCTCTGGCTTGGGCGGCATGACGTGAGCAGACTTTGGCTTGGCCACCATCTTGCATAAAGTCTGCTGGATTTATGGCTGGCCTGGATCACTGAATAAAGCCACTGGATCCGGGTGTGGCTGATGATTCCGTAACGTAGGAGGCGTGACGACAGAGTTGAGGATCCAAATGCAAGGCTTTTATTATAGAGCGAAGTAAAATAAAAAAAAAACAAGACAGGCAAAGGTCAGGGCAGGCAGCAAACAATCAATTAGGTTCAATCAACAATCAATCAATAAGCAAACAAAAATTAGGTAAAAAGACCAAGATAAAAACACAAAGATGTTTCTGATTTGAAGCGGGCAGAATGCTAGAGCTAACCAGAGGCTTGACGTGAGCAGGCTCTGGCTTGGCAGGCATGACGTGAGCAGACTTTGGCTTGGCCACCATCTTGCATAAAGTCTGCTGGATTTATGGCTGGCCTGGATCACTGAATAAAGCCACTGGATCCGGGTGTGGCTGATGATTCCGTAACGTAGGAGGCGTGACGACAGAGTTGAGGATCCAAATGCAAGCCTTTTATTATAGAGCGAAGTAAAATAAAAAAAAAACAAGACAGGCAAAGGTCAGGGCAGGCAGCAAACAATCAATTAGGTTCAATCAACAATCAATCAATAAGCAAACAAAAATTAGGTAAAAAGACCAAGATAAAAACACAAAGATGTTTCTGATTTGAAGCGGGCAGAATGCTAGAGCTAACCAGCCGTAACTCATTTGTACCCTTCCAGTCAAATATTGCACTGCAAACATAAACAGCTTTAACTTGTCAATGCTGGCAAATGACCATGGTATCCGCTTCGCGTCGGGTGGTTCACAGCTAGCCGTGCATTATCCCGCTTATAACTGCACTGCTACCCGTGTGATATCATTGAGGTATTATTATAGTTTTGAATAATATTTTGAATACTTAGTTTTTATCATTTTTATTATTTCTTTAATTTGTCTATATAATTTTTTATACATTTTTATTTCAGTTGTAGCTTTAGTTATTTTAGTGTCAAGTTAAAATAAATGAGAAATGTTGCCTTGGCAAGTAGTTTAAATATTTGTTTATATTTTTAATATTTTATTTCAGTTTAAAATTTAAAATGTTATGGTTTTAGATATAGATAGATAGATAGATAGATAGATTTATGCAAGGTAATTCTTTTAATGATGTTTTGTCATTTTGGGGTGACATATGACAAAAGGTTTTGTTAGAATAACTCACCTTTGTTGTGTCCTCTTGACAAAATCGCCAGAACCCTTCTTTCACTGCAGATTGTGGGTTTTCACAAGAGCTACATGTGTCTGAGGAGCTTTATCAGAGGCTGATGTCAAAATGGCCCGTGGCAGTCTCTCGTGTTTTATGATCTAGGTTTAACACTCCATTCCGAATATTCCTTTGGAGACCTAAAAGAAATGACAGTAGGCTACTGTGACTGAATGCGATGCCACAGGTCAGGCTACTGCTGCCGTGTCTAATGGATTCTCATGCATTGCCCTGACATTCACATTGGCAGGTATTATTGACAAAGAGGAGGTGCACCAATAAATTTTATACGTGAAACACTTCATGTGGCATCGAGTGCTGCATCTGAGTTCCCTCTGTTGCCTAGGGCTGTGATACCGCAGAATGTCCATTAATAAGGAGCAGCAGACAGCTTCATCATGTCCTCTGGTCTGAAGTTAAACCAAAAAACAATAAGAGAAATATGAAAATTCGTATTTAGGAATGTAGATACTTTCTACAAATAGATCATTTATTTTGTTGAAAATGTGTTGCAAATAGTTTTTGTTTGGTTGTGCACGTAACCACAGTGATGTCCAGATTTATTGGTACAGAAACAGACAAAAATGGATTCATGAAATAAATGAATTTGCACAATAGGCTAGATTTTTCTCTCTCCAATTGCTTAAAACTTTGTAACATGCTAAAAGTTGTAACTGAAATAAAATAATTTTAAGTTTAAATGTATTTGTTAACTGAAACTAATACTGCATAAGAACACTTTCATTACTTGACATTAAAAAATAAACATTAACTGAAATAAAATAAAATATAAAAACTAAATTAATTCTATTTTAACTAATTGTCAATGCATCATTTCTCATTTTTGTTCGTTTAATTAAGTTCTTGGTTTAGTTTAGTTATGTACTAAAATAACTAAAATTGAAAATACCCAAAACTAAAATAAAACTTTATAAAACTTTATAATAAAACTTTATAAACATACTTTATCCAAAACTTTATAAACATATTTTTGGAAAAATAAAAATAAAAATGGCACCACAAAATTACCAAAACTTTAAAATTAATGTAAAAACAGAATATATAAAAACTAATCTAATTTAATATAATCAACAAAAACTATAATAGTATCAATGACACTAAAACAACACTGATTAAAAGTACTAAAAACGAAATAAAAATAAAGCTAAATATAATTTTTTTTTTTAAATGACAAAAGTGCATAACAAAATTGATAAAACTAAAATCGAAAATATTAAAATGAAAGATAATTCAAAATATCATCTCCAGGTTATGAATGTAACCATGGTTCCCTGAGGGAATGAGACGCTGCATCGGAAAACGCTTTGGGAACGCCCCCAGCATGACCATGCTCTGAATCACATATGAAATCAGTCCAATAGATGAGCGAGACGTCATGGGCGGGTGACGTTGCGACCAGGAAGCTATAAAAGCACGTGCAGTGGAACCGGCGTCAGCTTCTAGGAATGAAACAAGCGCTCACAGGGATGCCGGAAGTATGTCACTGAGACGCAGCGTCTCGTTCCCTCGGGGAACCATGGTTACATTCGTAACCTGGAGACGCTCCCCTTCAGGAACTCGAGCTGCATCGGAAAACGCTTTGGGAATGAGTATGCCCACGCGGCCAGACTTACCAATCCCTGCCTAGTGTGGAAGAGCACAGCTAAGGCGAGAGAAAGGAGCCAGGAGTGGCGCAGAATGCAGGAAGGCAGCTGACAAAGTAGGCGGGGACATCCCGCAACGTCCCGAAGGCCAACTTCAGAAGGAGTGAGTCTTGACCCCTAAAGGAGAAGGGAGATCAGAGGACTCGAGGCTAAGAAAAAGCATCCTGATCCACCGCTTAGCATAAGCTTTTCTGGCCAGAGGCCTCAGCCTCAGTGCACCGTGGAGGAAACGTGTAACTAGGGGGTGTCTGCCCACTGACTGGCCACCGACACGTAGACTTTCTAGGTGGATTGGGTCAACCCTGCAGAGAAACGGGCCTGCAGGAACTCCAGCACTGTACCAACTGGGCAGTAACTGGGTCGAGCTGGCGGTCTCCGCACCAAGAAGTGAAAAGATTCCACTTCAAGGCATACAGTTTCCTCGTAGAGGGAGCTCTGGTTTGGAAAATGGTCTCAACAACCTCGGTTGAGAGACAGGAAGCTGCGAGTTGTGCCCCCCCCCAGGGGCCACACCCACGCTTCCACAGCTCCGGGCGGGGGTGAAGATAGTACCCTCCACCTGTGAGAGGAGACCCCTCCTGACGGAAATCTCCCATGGATGGCCGTCGAGAAGAGAAATCAGGTCCGAGAACCATACTCGGACCGGCCAGTACGGGGCTACCAACAGTAGACGGACCCCGTCCTGGCACACTCTCTCCAGAACTCCCGGGAGCAGAGCGATCGGGGAAAAAGGCATACAGACGAAGCCTCGGCCACGTCTGTACCATAGCGTCCAGTCCAAGAGGAGCTGGATGAGTCAGAGAGAACCAGAGGGGACAGTGC